CTATAGAATGTTACTGCCCGAATGCTGCTTGTTTTGTGCTTTATGAGACCCATATTGACGCGGGCTAGCTATTAAATGAATATGTTAAGTTATAAGATGCAAGAGTTACGTAATTCTATAATGATTGAGTTAGCTCAATTAGACAACTCTCGTATGAGTCTAACAATCGTAGGGTTGAGTCTTTTATTCGAAAGATTATTTAAGTTTTGTTGCATTTACTGTATTATGAAGTAGTTAGTTAACTGACCATAAGGAATGCGTGGGTTTAGAGCAAAAAAGGAGCATTAAATGTGATCACAAGTCTGGCCGAAAAAGTATTATTTTTTAAACTAAAATGTCAAAATAAGACGAAAACGAACACCCTTAATCATATAAATTCAGATTTAATTATTATTAAGTGGCAATAAGAGGTAAACAAACATGCAATGATCCAAATATACCATGAATTAAAAGGATACAAATATATCAATGAAATTAAAAATATACTAAAATGATATTACTTGGTCGACATAAAAAAATATTAACCAATAACATAGCTAGTATTTATTAACTAAAGAAAAAAAAAAAACAAAATAAAACAAAACTAAAAATCATATTAACAATTTTTTACAAGTTACAACATATTTGAAAGACATGTAAAAAATTTCTAATCGAAACTTTCCTTTTAAAATACACAATTGGTCACAAAGAAAGCACACGGATAGCGATCCGCGTCATCTCTTAAATTATAATCTAAACCGTCCTTTTTTCATTTCAACAATCCAACGGTCCAGGATCGCTTCCGCCGACTGTTCTCCCAAAATTTTCAAAACTTCCCACAATCCTCGTCAAGAACCAAACCATTATAAATACAGACATCTTCTTCCCCAAATATTCACAACAATAAGTCGCTTCCTCCTTGCACCAACAAAATCTTCGTAATCCCTCATTGTATTTGCAAAAAATGGCAAGAACCAAGCAAACTGCTCGCAAATCGACCGGAGGAAAAGCTCCGAGGAAGCAATTGGCGACAAAAGCCGCCAGGAAATCAGCACCGGCCACCGGAGGAGTGAAAAAGCCACACAGATTCAGGCCAGGAACCGTTGCTCTAAGGGAGATCCGTAAGTACCAGAAGAGCACAGAGCTCTTGATCCGTAAGCTTCCATTTCAGAGGCTTGTGAGAGAAATCGCTCAAGATTTCAAGACCGATCTGAGGTTCCAGAGCAGTGCTGTCGCTGCACTTCAGGAGGCTTCTGAGGCTTATTTGGTGGGTTTGTTTGAGGATACCAATCTGTGTGCCATTCATGCTAAGAGGGTTACAATCATGCCTAAGGATATGCAATTGGCCAGGAGGATTAGAGGCGAGAGGGCTTAGATTTTATGAAAATGGTTAGGGTTTATCTTTATGTTGTAGAAAGTATCATCTGCTGTTGAGGTCATGTTGTTTTGACCTGTTTGTATTTGTTCTAATGAAAACCATCTTGGTGTCTTTTTCAAATTTCTATCTTATTGCAATATCTTTACATAACATCGTGATAACATCTCCCAATCTTTGTCAATTAGATTGGAATCTGCAATCCACATTTTTTACGAGGAACGTATATAAGCAAAACCTGAAATACCCGTAAGAAGCTATTTACTGGTGGATCCAAGCGAATATGGGTCTAGCTTACAAATATAAAGAACAACAGAAAAATCCATCCGATAAACAGTTATCAGTATTTGCTGTTGAGTAAAAAATTACAGGTAAAAGATGTTATAGTTTGGTTCAATCATCAATCATTAGTTCGATTATTTTTGGCAATGTTTGATGAGTTGGAAATTCAGAAGAGGAGAAAATGGCTGAAATATGAACGCAGGTGAGGGAAGTATTCAGTATGAACTTAGTTACAGTGAGTTCTTGAAGAAAGATAGCTGCTGATATCGCTGTGAGAGGGAAATAATATCAAGAATGGAGAGTTTATTTAATTTGGGAATGTTTATGTTTGGGTTTGTGTTATTTTAATTAAGTAATAATACCAAAAATAAAATAAAAATCAAGAATTGCAAGGCTCTTCAAATAATTTGCCTTATATGCGTCAAATGCTTATTAAATTCAAGATGAAGGTAATTGTACTGTCAAATTCAAGATATATAACCCCAACATTTTTTTTCATTGTTAGTTTCAGAATTTTAATATAAGTTTTTCTAAGGATAGTGAAATTTCAATTTAAAATAACATATTTATTCATTAGTACCCTGTACCCTCAAATAAGTTTAATTTTAGAAGTCAAGGCTACTAACTTTAATAGAAAACGATAATATTATGAGACTATTCGTTTGTGATCTTGACTCTCCCTGTTTTAAATCCAAAAAAACAATCAAATGGTTGTCTAAATTTTCTAACACTAAATTCCACTTTGTTCCTTTTTATTTTATTATTATTATTATGTTAAATTTGATTTTATTGAAACATTATATCAATGCTGATTTTTTTTTGGATATTTATTATTGGTATTTTCGAAACATTAAATATGAGATTTATTATCATAAATAAATGAGATGCATTAATTAATTATAAGGATTATTTTTTATGAGATTTTATAATATGTATGGTTACACACATATTATTAAATATATTATTATAATACATTTTACACTTTTAACTAAAAATGTTTATGATAATATTGCTTATAATTAGTACTCACTTCGTTCCAAAATAAGTGTCCACCGACAAAAAATATGCAGTTTAAGAAAAACAAATTAATGTGGGTTTTACCTAAGAAAATGTTATTTCTACCCTTACTAATTTTGCTTATTTTAGAATTCATATAAACGTATTTTGAAACATTTTTTTTGCCACAACGTATCTTGAAACTTTCATTATTTTTGGTAAACAAATGGAGTCAAAATTTGCCGCCATAATTTTGTTGCAAATCACAAGTTAAAATTTCATTTAGATTAAAACTCATTTAATTTTAGATTACACAGTTTTTTCTTTTGTCACCAACTTATTCCATGTGTGTCTTCACTTCCCATTAATTACATATACATATGTCTTCATCTAAGTAAAGATTTATTGTGACTAGCCTAAAACATTATCCATCCACTAAAAAAAAACACCACCGTTACACAAGGTCAAACCATATATCAATTCTTATTGCAAGAAAGTAGTGATGGAGAATTAAAAAAAGGTTCCAAAAGTAAAATAACTTCACGATTTCTGGTTTCTACACGGACAATTAGTCGCAGTTGGCATCAAGCTAAATTTCAAATTGACCATGGATTACCGGTTGATTTATCTTCAAATAAGTCAAAGGTTGTTGGGCGGAAAAGGGTACAAATAATCTTGAATCAAGTTTTAGAAGTTCCATTACGTCATCGAGCCAATATACGATCTCTTGCGAAATCTATAAATGTCTTGAAATCAACGATGCATAGACGTATCAAGGAAAGTGTACTTCGACCACATACAAATGCGATCAAGCCGACTCTAACTCATGAGAATAGAAGAGAAAGGTTAGAGTTTTGCTTATCTAAGATTACTATACAATCATTATTAAGTCCGATTCCTATATTCTATGATATGTTTAATGTTGTTCATATTGATGAAAAGTGGTTTTACATATCAAAACCATCAAAACGTTACTACCTTGTCCCCGGTGAGGATGGACAGTTGCGAACATGTAAAAGCAAAAAGTTTATCACAAAAGTTATGTTTCTAGCGGCCGTAGCAAGACCGAAATTTGATTCATTAGGTAACAATGTATTTTCAGGAAAAATTGGTATCTACCCATTTACAACATTAGAACCAGCTATGCGTTCAAGCAAAAAATCGTATTGCGGGAACATTGGAGACGAAGCCTAGTTTATCGGTGAACAAAGAGGTAATAAGGTCATGGTTGACAGAAAAGGTTCTATCGGATATCAAATCCAAATGGCGGCAAGGTCATATCGATCCAATATTTATTCAGCAAGACAACGCAAATCCTCATATTGATGTTAACGATATCGAGTTTCTTGAAGCAGCATCTTGAGATGGATTTGATATTCAACTTTGTTTTCAGCCCCCTATGTGACATCCCCATTTTTCACGGTCAGAAAAGACCGATTTGTTTATGTTTTGTTTTATAAATCAGAGTAATCGTTTAAAGAAAACGGTTGCGGAATTTGTTCCAAAACAAGATATGATAAAAACTTATCAAAACATTTCTCAATGAGAATGTATTTTCATTAAATAATAAAACCTAGGGATATCATGTTCAAATACAAACACATAAGCATAAACAGAACATACATTCATTTACTCTAGTAATTTACATCTCCTTTAATCTCTCAGTGCAAAGCAGCTTCGTATCGATACCTGTGATACAATTAAACTGAGTGGGTCAGACTTGGGAGCCTGGTGAGCATATAGGGTTTTCAACCCACAATATCATATATATATATATATATATATATATATATATATATATATTATATATATATATAATCATCAAACAATCAACCCAATTACCCATCCCCGTTATCTTCTTTATTTCTTAAGGTTTTACCCTAAGAATCACCTATCCTTTATTCATTCATTCCTAAAATTTGACTTTAATGAATAGACACAAATTCTACTGTTATTTAAGGCGCATCTACCAACTTTATCATTTAAGCGCTCTGTCAGGATTACGACATTCACTATTAGGCGCATCTGCCGACCTTATCCTATAAGCGTATCTGCCAGGATTATCCTATAAGCGCATCTGCTAGTATTATGATATTCTCTATTTGGTGCGTCACCAATATTATTCTTAAGCGCATCT